GTCTGTTAGTGCTATCGGAATCCGCTTTTTTCAAAAGCTGCTTTTTGCCGCTTCCTTCCGGCCATTCTTAATTAATGCGGTCTCTCCTAGCTTCGTTCTCCTGCACTCACTCACAGTCTTCCAGAACCTTCTTCGGTATTTCGTTGCAGAGCGCAGTTTACTTATCGTCCAGTTGCCTATCAGCCTTCATTTTTTGGTTTGATATATTTTTTCGATTTTGCTGATATTCTTTTGCCACTTGCCAGTCAGGTCCTGACTATTTCCGGGTCGTAAGTAATCCCAGTTTTCGGCAGGCCGACTTCATACACCGAAACGATGCCTCAGTTCTGCTACCGGCGTGCTTAGCAAATATTTTAAACGCTGTTAGTGTACAGTGCATCCAAACGTCAGCTTATAACAAGGCGAATCATACAGTGGTTGTCATGCCTTCATTTGGGCTAAAAAGATGGTGGTCTGCAGTCTTTCCATCTGAGCCTATGAATACTGATATGCGGATTTCTTTTAGGTATTATGAAATTTGTCATTCCATAATTGCCTGTGTTTAATGGTTGATGTCACTACTTGCCGTAGCGACTATGCAACGGCGCTTCACCAGTGTGCACAGGATAAACGAATTCCATAGTTAGGCATATCGACAATTTACTGGCAAGGTACGTTCATCGAAAACAAGCAGTTCCGAGGGACTGTAGGAACAAACTCACAGTCTCACCATAATTCAAAATGGCTAATTGATTGCAACTTCTTACTCTTTCCAATGTATCATCGCTTATTCAACAAAGAAAACATCATGAAATTCCATGGCTTGGTTAGTTACTGCAGAATCGATTGGGCGGCAGCATACAACTGAATATATAGACTAAAGCTTAGATAAATTTATCATAAAAAGCAGAATTACGAAAAAAAATTTGTTAATTTTATTTTCTTCTAGCAACAACCAGGAGGCGAAATGCGAACCATTTTAATGAATTTCTAAATGACAAAAAACATGTGAGAACATAGACACATGCATATAAAACATGCGCTTGCGAACAATTTTCGGCGTGTCAATTCTCCCGCCAATTTATCAAGACGTCGCTTTGGCAGTTAGTTGCTGGCCGGCAAGTGGCTCGTCTTTCGCGCGCGTTTTGGACGGCTTTAGACATGTTCTTCTATGAACGAACCAGTGCAACTTTTGGCATTCGACTGAGCAATAATTGTCCTGAAAACCGACTTATAATTAATAAACAAAAACTTGAAATCTGTGCAACAAAGGACGATAAAGTTAGGCTCTTGATCTAGGTCATATTATGGCTGCGAAGGATTAATGCGTCGTTTTCCCATTCAAGACATTCTGAAACATGCGCACACACCAAGGCGGCTTTGCATGCTTTGTAAATTATGGTTTGGCATTAAATGGTACCTCAGGACTCTAGAAGTACGGTATCACGGTTACGATGTATAAATTTAGAGAAGCAAAGCCTATATGATATTATTCTAGCGCCAAAATTCAGCCGATTCAAACGCCGTGAAGAAAAGGCAATGAAAGCCACAACTGCAAACAATAAATATTTATTTAACACTCAGAACCTGCTTTGTTGGCGAGACAACGCCAAACCTCTGCAAGCTCCATGGAAGATAAATACAGTAAAATCCTGTTATTACGCTGGCTTTTGGGAAGAGAAAAACCACGTTATCGGCAACCCGCAGTATGTCAGAAAATTTCCGCGCAAAATGAAATTTTATACACGCAAGTATAAGCATATCATTCTAAAGACGTAACTGCAAAATACGATACAAATAAAATTACAGTAAAAAATTCATGCCCTACTTAATCATTG